AGATCATGCTTGGTAAAGTAGAGGGTCAGTGAAAAAGAGGAAGACCCTCAATGAGATGGATTGACACAGTGGCTGCAACAATGGGCTCAAGCATAACAACCATTGTGAGGATGGCACAGGACCGGGCAGTGTTTCATTGTGTTGTACGTAGGGTCACTATGAGTTGGAACTGACTCGACGGCACCTAACAACAACGAGAAGTAGGGTAAGTTCTAAAGCTAATCACTTCTGAGTTATAAAAAGTCCAGATTAGACACAGAGATGTGCACACATGTGGGAAGACAGACACCATGTGAAGATCCTCTATGAGCCAAGGAATGCCCAGGACTACCTACAAGGACAGAACTGACCCAGCTGAGACCTGATTTAGATGTTTAACCTCCAGAACTATGAGAAAATAAATTTCTGTTCTTTAAAGCCACCCACTTTGGTATTTCTGTTACAGCAGTACTAGGAAGCTAAGACACCTTTCTTGACCCTTTCTTCTTATCAAGCTCAAATGACTCAACTTGGCTGAAGGCTCTCAGGCACCCAAAATAAGCCCCTTGTCCTCTTACTTCTAGAATCACTTGTCCCGAGCCACTGATGAGAACTAAAAAGAGGAGAAAACTGAGCAAATGGCATTGCGTATTTGTTATTTGTTACTTGCCTTAGTCCTCACAACAATTCGATGAGACAAGCCTTATTATCTTCATTTTACTAATAAACAAACCAAGGCATTAAGTAACTTACTCTGGGTTCCAGGAGCCAGGATTAAAACTGATGTCTGAGAGAGAGTCCAATGCTCAGTCTATCTACCTCACTGCCCTGCCTTACAAACACAAGCTGTTGGTGCTGAGGGAACAGGTAGAGTTCAGAAGGGTTGTTTGATAAGATGGGGAAGAAAGCAGAAACTGCCCCGTCTCCTTTCTTCTTCTTTGCCCCAGGTTGTCTGTGAGTCGCTCCTGTTCTTTCCTTTTGCCCTCCTGCTTTGCAACCACATGCTTTTTTTTTTTTTTTTTTAACTTGAGCATGGCCACCAGGGAGAGTTCAGTGCAGCCTTTATATTATTCATAATTATTCATAATCTGCAGTGAACTTGCTGTTTTGTTCTTTACCGAATGGAATGTCAATCTTGAAGCCATCTCCCTATCATGACGGTTTACCCACACGTTTGTGGCATTTAAAGTTGACGTACACGTTCTCATTCCACTCGTTCGTTTCTAAGGAAAACGTTTCCTGGATGCACGTTAGATGCCAAGCCCCGTGCTTAGCGCTGGGAGTGAGAGAGAAACGCATGCTGGCGGCTTCGAAGAGCCCGTAGGAGGATTTCACCCCAGGGGCTCCTGCGAGCTGGGCGGAGCAGCCGTTACTACAGAATTTTATAGGTTACAAGCTGAGGCTGACAGAGGCTGAAGTCACCTGGAGTGACTCGCTCAAGGTCATGTAGCTAATTAGTGACAGATCCAGGGCTTGAAGCCAACGCCATCTTCTGGCTCCAAATCCAGGGCTCTTTCCACCAAATCGGTGCTTCCCCTGCCCTTTCGAATTCTGATCAACTAACTGACTAACTGGAACCCTGGTGGCGCACTGGTTAAGAGCTCCGCTGTTAATCAAAAGGTCGGCAGTTCGAATCCACCGGGCATTCCTTGGAAGCCCTATGGGGCAGTTCTACTCTGCCCTATAGGGCCGCTATGAGTCGGAAGGACTCCACGGCAGCGCGTTTTTTGGTAACTGACTAACTAATTGACTAACTACAGAAAGAAAGAGAAAGAGAAAGAGAGAGTGAGATCTTTGGATCAGCATAAAAATATTAACTGTTTATTTGCCACAAGAGTCCATTAATAAACAATTCCCCCGAATCCCCCCCCCCACCCCCCAGAAAAGGAGTCCTGGTGGCGATAAGTTTAAGTTCTTGACTGTTAATTAAAAGGTAGGCAGCTCGAACTCACCCAGAGGCTCGACCCGAGAAAAACCTGGCAATCTGCTCCTATGAAGATTAAAGCTTGGAAAACCCTATGGGGCAGTTTACTCTGTCACATGGGGTCGCTATGCGTCTGAATTGACTCGCACCCAATGATAACAACCTACCAAAATAAACAAACCAAACAAAGAAGCTGCTGTCTCCTTTCACAACTGTTTCATAGAAGACAGTGTATTTTCAGACCCAGAGAGTAGAAAGGATAGCAATCGGGTATAAAAGACCAGTTTCTCATTGGAATAAAGTAAGTTTTATGAAACATTCACTACTTGGTCCCTACTTTTCTCATTCGTCCTTCAGTGCAGGCGAAGGGGCCTCAACCAGCAGATTGAAAGATTTACGGACTAAGCTTGGGGGAAGGACAATGTGCAAAGAATGGTGTAGTTTACATTTTTTTCTCCAAGCATTTGTTTGCTTAAGAAAAACCTTTCTCTCTTCATTAACAAACGATGTAAAAT